GAGGTTTTGATCTGTGTGGAACCCTAAAGTAACAATGGTTTCAACAATGCCTCGTGTAAATATAGACTATCAGACCTCGAAGAGTGGCTCTATCATCATGGAAAACCTCAAGTCCTTTATGTTGCTGCTCTGTGATTCTTAGAAGTGTGTGTATCTAGCCTTTTGAATCTGTTGTCTTTCACTTGGCATGATGCATTTGAGATATAAAGTGCTGTTTATATCAATAGTCTACTCTTTCTATTGAGTAGTAGTCTATCCTATGGAGGCAATACAGTTTGTTTCCCAGTTAAGGAACTTTCAGGTTGCTTCAAGATTTTAGAGATAAAATTGCCTAAAATATTTTTGTTTGTACATTTCTATATAAATGTAACTTTTTCATTTCACTTGGATAAATATCTAGGGGTGGGATAAGCTTAGGTACATATTGAACTTCATAAAAACTGCAAAATTATTTTTACTGTGGTCATACTATTTGCATTCCTACCATAAATGCATGGAAATTTTACCTGCATTCTCACCAGCATTTGGTATTGTTGAGACTTTTTATTTTTATTTTTTTCCTCCACCTTCTTTTGTTTTGTTTCTTGAGATAGAGTTTTGCTCTGTAGTTCAGGCTGAGCTTGAATTCACTATGTAGCCCAGGCTGGCTTCAAACTCAAGAAAATCCTCCTTCCTCAGCTTCCTGAGGTCTGGGATTACAGGCATGCATCACCATACCTGGCTCTTCTCCCTTTTTTTGTTTTTTTTTGGTACTGGGGATAGAACTCAGGACCTTGCGCTTTTGAGGCAGGTGCTGGAACCACTGAGCTAAATCCCTGGCCCTTCTTCTCCTTTTTTAAAAAGTCTATTTTAACAGATTTGTGGTACTAATTCATGGTGGTTTTAATTAGCATTTCACTAATGACTAATGATACTGAGCATCATTTCATGTACTGTTTACCATCTGTATTTTCTTTAGCAATGTATCTGTTCAAATAGTTTGCCTACTAAAGATATTTGGTTGGTTGGTTTTTTTTTATTGAGAATTGAGAATTCTTTGTGCATATTGGCTGAGAGTTCTGCATCAGATGTATGATTTGCAAATATTTTCTGTCAGTCTCTTCTTTTTTCCATTCTTTTAATAGTATTTGGAGATAAAAGGTTTAATTTTGACAAAGTCTGGTTTATTTACTTATTTTCTTACAGATTGTGCTTTTATTTTGTATCTTAAAATTTTCAATCTTGGATTTTTATGTTAAAAGTAAAATTTGTGAAAACAAAAAAGAACAAATTCTTCCTAGCAAAAGTAAATTATCTACTAAATATATTCTAGCTATATCTTCTAAAGTGAAATCAAATAAGATATTAGATAACTTATGCAGGAAGAGCTAAATTAGATTTATGAAAGAGGAGACAAAGACCTAATGATAACAATTTTTACAACACAGAACTAAAGATTTTTGGATCTTATACAATACCAGCCTGTAAACATGACATAACGCTTGGTGGGGGTTTCAAAAACCTATTCATTTGTTCACCCACTTATGTATTTAAAATTTTTTTATTGAGCACCTACTATGAGCTAAGCACTATGCTTTACATGGGGTACACAGAAGAATACAGTGGTAGACAAAACTTTTGATAAATAAATCAATAGATCATCAAATAATTCAGTAAGAACTATGATTGACATATGTTCATAATAAACCTTGCTTCTTCTTGCACATGCTACAAAAGTACTGGTTTCATCACACTTATCTCAGTTTGATGTTGGTTTGTGTGACTACTTGATTTAAAGTCTGTCTCTCTCATGGTTCAAGAGAAGAAATGCGATTTTGTTTTTATGATTACGCCTGGCACATAGCAGGGTCTGGATTAATAGCCATTGACGAGATAAAGTGCCTGCTATTGAAGTACAGGGGGAGGAGTTGCTAATACTGTCCCTGGCAGTTTTGAAGATTTCATTAAAAAGGTGACATGTCATTATATTGTATACCTAAAATGTACCAATGATTAGAATGAATAATCGATAATGCAAAATAGGAAGAAAAGGTCCAAAGGGGTAGGGGTCATGGGAGGGGCAGGGGAAAGGAAAGAAGGGAAAGGAAAAATGATGAGAAATAGAAAAAATGGAAATAAAGTCTTTGTAAATAGGGAAGGGTGGAGGGGATGAAGGGAGGGCTAGGAATGGGGAAAAAATAAGAACCAAGATGCATCATGTAAAGGTACAATTCCCAATGAGAAATGTAATTGTGTTGTATACCTACAATGTACCAATAAAAGAATTTAAGAAAAACAACAACAACAACAAAAACAAATTTAGAGCAACCATAGTAAAGAACAGATTAATTTTAATGATATTTTAAATTGTCATACGAAGAGACAAAGACTGTAAAGGCAAAATGTCAAACGAAAGTATAATTGGGTTAAGCAGTTAATTCATAAAAATATATTCTGTTATTTTTCCAGTTTGGTAGCATCTCTTGTGAACTTTTTTTTTTTTGAGCCAGGGTCTCACTATGGAGCTCAGGCTGGCTTTGAACTTGCCTCAGCCTCCTGAGGGCCGGGATAACAGGTGTGCACCACCACTCCTGGCCCTAGTGAACTTCTATAAATTCGAAAGTTATTGTGGTTTCTTGGATTTTAAATAAATATTATTTTCCAATTTAAAAAAAAAAAAGGTGACTTTTGAAGGGAATCTTGAAGCAAAGGCAGGAACTTGCTAATGAGCGAAGGGGAGTGTTGAGGAAGGGAAGGGCAGCATTCCGGAGCTGTGCGGTCTGGGCCGAGGTAGGGAGGGGCATGGTCCGAAAGTTGCTGTGAGGAGAGATCGATAAAGCTCTGTTCAGAGGTGATGAAGGTCTCCCCACCCTGTGGCAACAGAGGTGTCAGGAAGGACAAGACCTGAAGACGGCTCCTGAACACAGAATTATAGTGATGGATAAGGTGTAAGGATAAAGTAGAAGGAGGACTTAACATTTTAGCTTTGCTGGCCTGAGGAGTACTGCTGGTAGGAAACAATTTTTAAGTCTTTCCCTGATATTATATGTGATTTACAAAATTCAGTAAATTATAAAGAAGAAACAAAAAGTATCCATTACCGCTCATACAAGGAATAATCACAGCTGACATTTCACATGCATATCTGTCTGTCCTCCAAAAATGCATTTTTAAAAAGAGAGCAAAAAAAGGGAGTAGGGATTCCATTTCTACCAGGAACTCGAGTCTCATGAGCTGCTTTAGTATCCTGAACTTCATTTTGAATCCAAACATCAAGTTTTCACAAAACAAACAAAAAAATTAGCCAGGCATGGTGGCAGATGGTTGTAATTACAGCACTCTGGGAGGCTGAGGCAGGAGGATAAAAAGTTTGAGTCCTGCCTGGGCATTTTAGACACTTAGGGAGACCCTGTCAAAAAAAAAAAAAGGAAGAGGGCTGAGGATGTAGCTCAGAAGAAGGCCCTGGGTTCAATCCCCAGTACAGCCAATAAATAGATACATAAATAAAAATAAATAAGCAAAGAAGTCAAGTTAGGTTCATAGCTGGAATTGGCAAAGACAATTTTTTCCCTGGTAAGGAAGCTAAATAACTGGCAGGATGACACTCTCCACCTCCCCCCATTAGTGACTGCTTCTAACCTGCAGAGGTAACCTGCCCAGATACTGAGGGATAAGGCCAGGTTCCATTTGATTAATTCATATTCAATTCAATGAGCTGAGCCCTGCAGAAAGACAAACACGGCAGCTATCTCCTCCTTGTTTGTCAAAAAGTCCTAAAGGAGCGCTAATTATTTTTGTCCACTTGAACCCTGAGTTTATGTAAGCTTGTGTACATAAATTAACTAAGAGAAAAGATTTCTGAGGTCCAGGAGCAGTTGATCAAAAATACCTTATCCTAGGCCCTTCCAAAAGAAAGGACTGGGGAAGAAGGTTTTAAAAATGAAAAGGTTTAGGATGCTTTCATATGAAAACACGATTATGGAGAATGGTAGCCGCATGGAGAGTCAGATGTCTGAAAATAGGCTCCAGGAATAAAGTTCAAGGAAGAGGAAGAGGGGAGTCACAGACGACCTGTGCAGTCCCTGGGGCAGGCCGCTCTTGCTGCAGGCAGGGTACTGGGCTGGGTACCCGGTGGGAGCGGGGTGGGCGGGATGGAGACCGGATGCGCGGGTCCCCACTCGCAGGCTGAACCTGCAGCCCTTCCTGGGGACCCTCCCCGGTCGCCCCAGGACCCCTTCTATGTCTGGCACTGCTCAGACGGGCAGGGATAGGGATGAGTTCCACTTCCTTTTTCAGGGTACAAACTGAAAAGTCCAGGAGCGTGAAACACGATTTACAAGAGAAAAACCAGCCTGGTCGCGCAGAGGGTAGGGGTAGGATTACTTGGGGAAACCGATTAGCAGGGTGTAGAATGATGCACTGGGCTTTCCCCACCAAAACCCAGAAGCAAATTTCCATTTCCAAACGAAGACCTACTTCCCCTCGTCTCTGACTTCCGCCCCGCAAACATTAAGTGGCTTTAGCTGGAGGTGGGTTTGGAGCTCGAGTTGATCTCCAGCTCCGGTCAGGGAGTGAGCTTGGCCCGGGCCGCTGCTTTCTGCCCCGGCTTCCGGGAAGCTGCTGCCGGACGGGACGAGACGGGCAGGGGTCGCGCACAGGAAGGAACCCGAAACCTGAGCAAACACTGCTCGCTCGGGACGTTCTCTGGGAACAGGCTGCCCGGGCTGGTCCCAAACACCCCCTTTTCCGCTCTTCCGGAGAGCGGCGCCCGGGCGCCCCACCAGTGCCGGGCCGGCGGTGGGTTTCCGCCAGCCGGAGTTCGCAGACTCACCCGGAGTTGGGGCGCGCGCGCCAGGCCAATGAGCGCGCCCCGCGGAGAGCTGGGCTCCGCCTGCGCGCGCTGATTGGGCCGGATCCCAGCAAGGCCGGCGGGCCGGTCAGGTCTGCGGGCCGCGTGGGGAGCCCGGCGCGAGGAGGCGTGGCGCGCGCGCCCCCCGCCGGCCCGCTCGCTCCCTCCCGCTCCGCCTCCTCCCGCTCCCTCCCTGAGCTCCAGGGCTCCGGCCGCGCGCTGGCGGGGCTCCGCATTGCACACTCTGGGGGCGCCGCAGTGTTCGTGGGATGGGGCAGCGGGCTGCCGCTGGCGGCCGGAATCCGCGCGCAGCCCGGGTGAGTAGAGGCGGGCTTCCCGGGAGACACAAAAGGAGACGAGGTGGAGGGTGGCAGCCCCGGCTGCTGAGGGGCCTGGGCCGGGCGAGGGAGCGAGCTGAGACGCTGGAGCCGGCGGGGCAGGGACAGCCCCCTCGGGGCGGGCGGAGCTGGGCCTCTGCACGCCGCTGGCGGGCTTTGCTCGGGACTGGATCGAGAACACTGCGAGCAGCCCGGGCGGGTCGGGTCGGGGGCGTGTGTGCGGGTGTTTTCTGCTGGGTGGGATGAAACGTCAGAAGCAGCCAAGTTCAACGCTGCAGGAAGCTTCTCCGGGGCGATTCAGCACCGCCCTGGGGCCAGGCGTGCGTCCGCGGGAACTCCAGCCGGAGGGAGAGTTCCTGGGCAGCTGAGTGGCAGCGCCCCACATGTTGCTGCGGGGGGCGGTGGCGCTGGCCGGGCTTCGCCCATCCGCAGCCGCTGCGGGAGGTGCGGTGAGCTGGGCTCCTCCCCGCCTCGGTGCGGTCGCGCTAGGCCCTTGGACCCCCGCCCCCCTACCAGGCGGGGACTGTCCACCTAAAGAATAGCGACTTCGCCGGGCTTGACTTGGCGACCGTTTTTCTCTCGGGTAACAGCAGTTCGGTTGATTCCTATTTGACGAAGCAGTCGATTTCAGCTGAAGCTCTCTGTGGGTCGATCTCACTCACTGTAACCCTCAAACACTGTCTCACTACTTCTGCCAACACCCCCTTCCCCACCAGTCTCATCTACCCCCAGTATAGATCCTACTCTGTCTTCACTGTGAGGTTCAAAACTTGATGTTTGGACATGATTGTATCCGGAGTGGTCCCAGATAGTGGTAGTACCACAATCACTTGCCATCCTAGGGGACTCCAAATACTTGTTTTAATTCGGGGGTGCTGGGGGGGGGAGGTGGAAACAAGTCTTTGATAGCCATTGTTGTTAAAACAGCATTGACCTCCCAGAGCACATGACAGAAAGAACGTTAAGCTTCTCCCTCTGGTAACCTACCCAAGGTGTGACCTCCAAAATTCAATTTTCTTTGTGGGAGGCAAGGGAGTTTGGATTCTCCAGAGGGACGCTTATTTCTTGTCAAATTGACTTGCAGTGACATACACTCTGTTCTGCTCTGCTCTGGCTAGCCATTGCAGATGCCATGATATTATTAGAGCAGTTCCCTTAAAGCCATTACATTTTCTTTCCAGTGAAAGGAACTCAAAGTAGCTGTTTAAAATTTCAGGTCTGCACCTTATTTCTTTAGGAGACACGAATGGCTACTGTGTATGTGCTCATGTGTACCAAGTTTGCAAAAGATATTTGTGCGATCATCCATGAAATGGCTTAATGCACATTTATGTTAAACCCATTTAAATGTAAAACATCGATCTGTTTTCAATTTTAGTTTCCACCTCAACCAAAGGCACTAGAGTGAAATTGGACTGAAAGAGGCTTCCTTGTTTAAATGGAGGTTTACAGTGCTGTAGTCCTGAAAGCATCCAGTAAGCTCTCTGAGCTTTCAGGAATACAAAGCCTGCTAGAAATTGGTTCCCTGGCTTAAAAAATATCAGAAATGCTTACAGACTAAAAACGGAGACACAGTTCATGGGGCTACCTTTTGAAGCTGTTGATAGTCTTTGTAAGATGAATGTCTATAGCACAAAAAGCACAAATGGGGTTGATTCTAGGCAAGCAATATCAAATAAAAAGCATACCATATACTGTATATTTTACATGGCACATTGAAATTTACTATTAAAGTAATATTTTTATCATCCCCACTGTACAGATGGAGCAACTGAGGCTCTTAGAGATTGATTTTTCCAGAGTAAATAGCAGAGTTCAAATTCACCTAGTTTCCAAATTCTCTCCTCCCTCTCTCCTTCCTCCATTTCTTAATTTCTTCATTCTGGGTTACAACTTTAGTGCTTGCCTATTTCTGTTTTCTGCACCTCTTTTTTTTTCCTGTTCAGCTTATACTTTCAGGGACCATTGTGTACTACTCCCAAAAGGTTTTGCTTTCTGCTAAATTTCATTGCAAAGGTGTATGTTGATAAAGATATAAGGAGAAATCTAATAATGATTTTAGGGAACCACCCTTTTCATTCTATTATTTTTTTACTAGTGTGTTGTTAAAGATACACGTAGTGAAAACCCCAGAGTTATGTCCACAAAGAAAGAGAGTGTTTCAGGAAAATCAAGTGATACAGTGGCAGGGACGTTTGAGAAATAAGTTTTCTACTTTATAAGCAGAAACTTCTCATTTGCTCTCTAAGCAATGAAGTCTTAAATGATTACTTCATTAATGTTATTTTTATTCTTAGTCACCACTTTTTTTTTTTTTTTGGTACCCAGGATCAAACTTAAGACCTTGCGCTTTCAAGGCAGCCATGGTGCTGCTGAGCTAAATCCCCAGCCCCTATGTTATTTTTATATTTAATAGAATGGACAAAACAGATGACTTAACTAAACCAAGAACGATTCCAGGAAAAAAGCACCCATTTTTGAAAAGTCCAGAAATCTTCTGGTGAACGAGTGCAGCAGAAGACATTGAAATTATATTTCTACTTGCGTAGCTAGCAATAAGAAATGCATAGTCATCTGCCTATTTATTTATTAAAGGCCTATCATTTGCATATCCTTTCCTGGGAAGTTATTGCTCACAATATTTGTGACATTGGATCATATTTATTAAGATACATGAAATTAATTTTGTTTGCATAGGTCTTGGTTAGAGTGTGTGGGTTTGGGTTAAGTCTTGGCTTTGCGTACAGTGTGGGCCAGCAGCAAGTGACTGAACCTCTGTGTTCCAGTTTCCTTGTGTGTAACACATGAGTAGTGCACCTCCCTCATTCAGTTTTTCAGTTTGTCCATGTGGCAAATGTCTGATTTCTCAGTGTGTACCAGCTTTGCTCTAGATGGTGGCAGTTCATTGGCAAATTCAATGAAGTTCACAGGGTAGCACCTGAGATCTAATGATGTAATGCATTTAAAGTGGTTAGCATGGGACATGACACCTAGCAAGTGCCACATGATTGTTAGCTGTTAGTATGGTACATTCATTCAGAAAATGTTCACTGAATCCCCACCAGATACAACATAGATTGGAGCATATAATGAGAGTGATATACATTTTAATTCAATTCAATTCAGTGTTCTAAAGGGAGCGGGAACTCCAAAGAGAAATGTCAAATTCATAATCTTTCTCTAAAAAGGAATGTGATGCTGACACATTAGGGAAAAATACTTGAAAAAGTCAAATTGCTTAAAAGAAAGTGGGACTACAAATGTGATTTTAAAAAAAGAGAGAAAAGGTCCCGTGCTCGAGCTCTTTAAAACAAGTTCTTAGGGAAAGAATAAAGGAAAGAAAAAGAATACTTAGATAGGTGTAATAGAAGAAGAATCTTTGAAGGGTTGTGTTTTTAAGTTGAGCCTTTAAAAGGTTACAGATCCTGTGCACCCTAGACATGAGGTAGCCAAAAATGAACTGGAGGAAAAAATCCTCCCAATCGATTTCTTAATAATTAAAGACAAATACTGTGAAATGAGGATTGTGGAGCCCTTGGCTTTCATCATACAAAACATATGCTCAGAGATAATGAGAGATGAAACAGGGTGTAAATGAGTCCTTTGCTTCTGTTTTTGCTGAGTAATATTCTTGGATTCAGTCTCTCTCAAGCAGAGCACACACTGGGGAGGTAATAGATGGAGAAGTGGCAAGATACTTTAGACCTAATCAACACGGGAGATACAGATAAATCACCAGCACCGGAAGGCTTTCATCCAGGTGTTTTGAGGAAACTTGTGTGATAGTGACAGCAGTCTGCACCTTTGGTGGGAGACTAGCTAGCGTCCTAAGAGCTACTGCCAGGCAAAGGGTTTCAGGAAGGACCCTAGGCGCGTCAAACCTCCCCATCCATGTGGTTGATGGGGAGATCAGTATTCAAAGCAAACAGATTTTAGTAAATAGTGACTTGTTTTGGAGAAAAGAGGCATAATATATTTGAGTTAAAGGAGGAGAATACATCTGCTGTTAAAGTGTTACAGAAAATGTAATTTAAAAATCCTTCAAAAAGCCTAATCGAGAAACAAGTCCCAGTTCCCTCACTATTCACAATCTTTTGTTATGAATGGGAAGCTGGCCAAGAAACAAGAATCAAAAGTAGAGATCAATAGGTACTTCTGAGTAGACAAATAGGTTCTTCCAGGAAGTAATTTGGAGATGATCTTATTTAACACTTCTACACATGTTTACAGAAAATAGGCAGCTCTTATGGTAAGTAAAAACCAAGCTAGGGAAGGTGAACTGTGGGAATATCTTAAAAGACAACCTAAATGGGAAGAAAAATAATGGAAGATTAAAGTCAAAATGGAAGATTGAAGGTAAGTGTACTTGGAAAAAGCAATCCAAAGCACACTTACAGGAGATGGTTTTAAATTCTGTTCCCATCAGCACACAAAATAACTGGCTAGTATTTCTCCGTTCTCTTTAAAAAATTGTCCACCAAGTTAAAGTCAATGTCAAGAAAATAGTAAGATATAAAACTCTGTATTAATGTCGTACTATTTTTAAAAAATATATAGTTGAGTATGATTATATAAATCTATATCTGTTTATCAGCTTATATGGAGAAAAATATGTATCAAAGGATTGACAGTGCTTATCTCTGGGTATCTCAGAATTGCAAGTGATTTTTACTGTCATTTTTTTAACTTCAGTATTATTCAGAATTTTCTACAATGTTGATATAATTACTCCTACAAAAAAATGTTATGAAGAAAAAGATTTACTATTGTAACTGAAGACTTCATCAAACTTATTATAAAGAGAAGCTCATTTGACGATGATCTTTGTCTTTACAGCTTTCATGGCTAAAAATTTTATTGTCTCCCACCTCTGTCCCAATTTTTTCTCTAAAGGGCAGGATGCTGAAATGACTTTTTTGTGCTTGGTATAAGGGAAAGTATGGCTGGAGATGAACACCAAATGCTTGCATATATAGCAG